CGAAACCAGGTGTGCAATTTGTGCAAGCACCTGCATCCAAACACAGTACAGGGGGAAATGTAGTAGCTATGGCTAGGAGGTTCCTTTGTCAGCTAATCTGAGACACCTCCTGCATCCCTTCCTAAGAAACTGGAATTTAGCCACTGTCAGCCATGCCATTACAATAATGAGGTTTGACCAGGGTTAAGCATGCTGCATGGGGCTCCCTTTAAAAATGTTTTTAAGAAAAATGTATTTCAGTTGTTATCTTTCATCTTTATTATCTTTAATCTGTATGGGCTGCCTTGTGCACTGATATGATATAGCATATAAATTAGGAGGAGAAAAGTTCAATAAAAAAAAATCTCAAACCCTGTAGCATTTAATAATATAATCTGTGACATTTAAGAATATAATCTCAACATACTAAATAAGTCACAGCTATTTACATTTCTATAATCTGCTCAAATAAATGCAGTGATAGCTCCTCATTTATAGAGATATTTAATCTAAAACAAATATATTGTGCTTACACAAGGATGTCTCTCTTTTTATGTATTCTGGAAGCTGCTTTTCTTCGTGCTAATCTGTTCTAATACTTAGTGGACAGGTTACTTAACATCTTCAAGATGGTAAAAACAACCTCCCTTTAAACTACTAGATCTAATACCCTTTCTTTGACCAAGTAATAGGATAAAAATGCTTTAAGAAATAAGAAGCATATATTGAGTTTTAGTCAGTGGTGGCTTTCTAGGAAACACTCCTGCTTGCACAAGGCAAGGCTCTTGTTTTTCATCAATTGTCACTACAGCCCCCAGCCCCCATTGAAAAAGCTGCTCTTGAGGGTCAGGGGAATCCTCTGGAACAGTACAGGATACGGTAAGGAGAGTTGCAGTAGGTGATGGTGGTATCAGTGAAAAGCAGATGCCTCGCCTCTAGGAACAGAAACATCTTTGCACAAAGCCACTACGGGACAAAATCTACTATTAATGAAAATTGTATCTAAACTCTGCGTATCGAAGCTCTTTGAAAATGATAATTAAGAAAGAAGGACACACATTTGAACAACTTGGTATTTAAGCAATACCTAGTCTTAATTTCAAAACGATCCCCTTTATTTAATAGAAGGTTGTTGAAGCAGAAAGACAAATGATGAATAATGGTCCCATGGCATGGTCTGAAGGGACACACTACAGCAACCATGTTGGAAGTGAAGTAGATCTGGTCAGTGCCGGAATGGGAGATCATCTAGAAACTCCATATACTCAACCTTGAATTCCATGGCAAGACAAAGGTGGGGAATATATTTGTACTTGCTGATCAAATATTTCCCATGCTACGTCAGAAATAACTTGAAAACAGGTTAAGTACAAATGTTAGGAAACACAATGTTACCTAGTCCTAATGGCAAGGGACTTTACATTAGAAGGAGAAGAGAAAGAAAATGTGTTATCACTTATTAGGTTTGTTTACAATGTCCAAGGCCAAGCCCATGCAACTCCTCACCGCCAGGATGAGAAGACACATGTGCTCCAGATGTTAAGAGAATGCATACTGTCTGGAACATGTGAAGTTTGTATACCCCCCCCTCCCACAGACACACAGAGGAGGGCATTTAAAAAGAGATGTTCAAAGCTTTTCTGAATGAGAGAGAAATACAATAAATGTCCATATTCAAAGCTAAAGCAGTTCACAATGGAGAGAAGAAGACTGGCCAAGAAATTTGTAACTTTTTTTTTTTTAAGCAGGCTTATTACGTTACAGCAAAATAAATCTTTACTGCCACATAGTGGTCAACACAGCCAAGGATGGGTAAATATGGGTGATTTCTTTTCTACCCATAGTGAAATGTGCTGTTCTAATTAAACTTACATTTAAATCATTCCCTATCACTGGAATTCAGTTGGAATTTATAGATTCTAAATGCATTTAAAAGCCTGAGTAGCAAAATGTATGTGCTAACCCCTAGTCCATTAGATTTTCTGCATTCTGAACAGAAATAGAAGAGAACAAATTACATGTTTTCACCATGAATAATTTTTTTAAGCACTCAGCTCACAGTTCCTAGTGATACAGCTGGGTATGTATGTACAATTAGTCTACTCTAACTGTATGCCAATACAAATTGCAGAAGGTTCAGATATGAAGCTGAAACACTTTACCTTTTTAGCAGTTTCAAATTCGAGTCCTTCTAAAGCCTCCATAGCCAGCTCTTTCCAATCTGTATCAGTTACTCCTAAACAAGCAATCTTATAGGCTTCTTTGAACATTTTTCTTTCCAAGTATTGATACATGGGTGCTGACTGCAAATTGAATAACCAAAGTAAAGCATTAAGATATTAGTGTGATTTCCTACTCTTGATAAACTTCCTATCATATCACAGCGGCTATAACTGTAGGGCAAACCAAATTTTCTGCATTTCCCACTAAGATGCTATAAAGAAAATTTCAGACATGACAGAATACAATAAAATAATGTAGCCCCAATAATGTAGCCCTAGTATCCCAATTTGGAAATCTGGATGTCTATCATTTGCTGGATCAGGAACTGAAAGACATGCATCCAATTCAAATGTCCTCTGGACTACAAACCAAATAACGAAAGCCACCCATCTAAATGGCATCGCTTTCCATAGGGTTCATGTTTGAATGTGCATCTCCATCCACATTATGACAGAATTAATAACATATAAGTACCATTTTAAGTGTGATTAGTTGGATCAGTGTTCTTTCTCTAAGAGCAGTATTCACTAAAGAAAGCTCTTCGACAGATGTTTACCAAGAACTCTGTACAAAACATTTCATGTGTAGGAAATTCCAAAACACATCCCCTGGCTAACTTGTTCTGTTGCCAAACTGCTCTTGCAGATAGCATTCTGTTTTCTCTCTGTCAAAGCAACAGAATGCAATTACTCTATCACCATTTACGGCAGCCTTTTAAATGTTTGAAAATTATTCCCGCTCCATGATCCCCTTTAAAATCCCTTTCCTTGAGGCTACATTTGCACCCATCTATAATTTAAAAGATGTTTTCAAGCAACTTCATTCTCCTTCTGCTAAAACAAATCCATTCTTTAGCTGCTGGTGGGAAATCCATGTTACAAAGCAAGTGCTAACGTTCTCTGTGCTAATAAATAAATTAAAATGCAGTCAACATTTTCTCCTGCTTCTTGTATTCTATGCTATTTCATCTATGCTAAACTTTTCCGTCTTCTCCAGCACGATAATTTAATTGTGAAATGCAAAACCCAACATGATCCCATGTACACATCTACTTCTGTAATCATCTAGTTGAAAGAGTCTTGCATGGGTCTAAACATTGCCAAACAACTGAATTTTCCCCATCCATTTCTGGTTGACAAGACTTCTTACTATTACAGCCCAAACGGTAAAGGGTCTGGTAGCACCTTAAATGCCAGCAAATATATTACACCATTTGCATTAGTGAACTAGGTTTACATCATCAGATACATGAAGTTCTACCCCATATTATATCTATATCTATATATTTATATATCTATATCTATATAGATAGATATGGAGTGGGGGACCCTTTTCAGCTCAAAGGTTGTATTGCCTCAGAGGGAACCTCCTAGGGGCCACATTCCAGGGGTTGATGGTGCCAGAGACAAAGATGGGTGGACCACCAGTTGAGTACAGCAGGCTACATTTCAGCCATGCAAAAGTCATCCATCTAGTTATGCAGGAGACATTATTGCAACTCAAGGATTCATTCAAGCCAGGCACAGAGCAGGACCAGTGAGGGGGGTGGCCTGGAGAGTGTCCTAAGAACCTTGGATAGTCACATTTGGTCCTGAGGCCTGTGTTCCCCATCCCTGGCATACATGTATACTCTCTCACACACACCGGCTGAATTAGGATCCTGAGAAGTGAGGTAAGAAGAAATGCAGAAAAGGATCTAATTAGCAGGGCTAATTCACATTCACCGTTCTTGATGACACAGACTTCTTACCATTACTAAGCCAACTAGCACATTAAGGGAGCAATGCTATGAACAAGGAACTAAGGGAAAGCAAGCCAGCGTAAATTAAGCCAATGTAAAGTTATACGTATCCAAACTCAGCTAAGCAGCACAGCTGCGGCTGATCTGCCTGTGTCTGGCAGAGGAAAAACAAGTCTTTAAAATAATGTTCCATGGCCATGTCTTGTGATTGAGCTAAGTGGCCTTAGGATTCAGCTTAGGTTCCCTCTCCCTGGTCTCATACCCACCAGGGCTCCACAATGCCCCTTTTGCAGGAATTAAACCAGACTTGGTTCTGCCAAGCATGCGATACCTGCGTATATTCTGCTGAGCTAGGGTTGGAAACTTAACCCTGGAGCTCTGCTGCATCCTAAACTACTCATTCCAGTGGATCTTGTCATAGGATTGCCCCTTAAAGTGCTAAAAATCTTTTGTCTCAGTTCAATCCACAAGTGACATTACTAGACCTCTTAGCAGACTGTAATTCAGTAGTTTTACTTTGCAGTGTCTGTTTTAAGTTCCTTTTCTTCAGGATGGCCACTTCAAGGGCATATACATTGTCCCAGAATGCTGAAATGTTCCCCCACTGGCTTCTGAATATTGCCATTTCTGATGTCAGATTCGTGTCGATTATTCTTTTGTGTTCAATTTTTCCCTTTGCGTAGAAACTTGCCTCAATGGCATTTGCAACAATGCTGGCAAAGGTCCAGTTTATGATCAGTCATGAACCTTACATCCTCCTCTCCATGTCTACCATCTTTTGTATTTGTTCTCTACACACAATTACGTGTAAATAGAATTTTTGCTGCACTTTATAGTACACTCAGTCAAGATGATTTTCTTTTCTAATCCTATCCTCCTATCCTACACTCCAAAATATAGATTGACAGAAAGCGAAGAAGTAATTGTGACAACTTTGTTGTCTGCTCTTATTCAAGTCATTATTTAAAAGGGTGACCACCAGCTCCAAGCCAAAGCTCTATAAAACCCCCTCAGTTTCTCTTCCTTTAAATGTAAGCCAAGTGGAAAACAAGTGCATTCCAAAATCCTTTAATTTTAGGAGTGGCATTTACTAGATCTTTGATCATGTAAATGCAAAACAGCTAAATTTAAACCCCAGTTCTGCATTCTTTCTGCTAATGTTAGTCAGTTGTGAATGGACACAAAGTACAAAATCAAACATAAATTCCACCACCATAGTTTTTAAAATTTTAAACAATACAAAGAAAGACATTTCCAAAGTAGTCCCTAAAAGCTTAACGGTCTGGTTTGTGTCTCGCCTTAATAAGTTGAGATGTGCATGTACCTCAGGCCTGCACACTTTGTTCTCATGTTACCCCTTTTCCTTCTTAGCATGCCACAATTAACTAAGGAATTTTTCAGTTAATTATTTCCCTTTTTGTTCAGATCAAGAAACTATGGTTGCCAGGATACAAACAAGCAAGGATCTTAACCCAACATCAAACCATGAGTTAAGACCATGGCTTGTTTAAATTCTGGTAACCATAGTTTCCCTGCTGGAGGTAATGGATAACTATGATAAGCTGAAGACTTTGAGTTAATTGCAGTGCACCAATGAGGACAAAAGGCATGGCACAAGGATGAAGTATATACTCACAAGGCTTAAGCATAGGTTTACTTATTAAATTGTAATAAATACATCTGAACTTGGCCATTAAGTGAACTATTCCTGTAATCCAACACTGTGCAAGCAACCTTCCATTTGCGCAACCAGATTTGCCTTTCCTTTCTTCCCAATACCTGCAGTCCCCACAAACTTCTGGAGCAGACTTTGGGGGTGCACAGAGGGTTGCAATGGGGAGAAATGGAAATCCTATTGCGGAGGTCTGTTCTGCTGGTAGACTGACACCACCAGCTTTTCCTTATTATATTAAATACTTCAGTGGCTCTATTGCTAGTACTTTCCATCATGTCCAAACAATTGTTTTGTTGAAAACACTGTTTTCTTAGGGACAAATCACATTTGTTGTTGCTCTAAAATGTTTTGAACAACACAACTGGTACGTGAACAAGTCACAAGCAAGAATGTGTAGGAGAATAACTGGCATTTGGCTGGAACTTCACCAAAGCGAAAGAAAACAACAGAGAGAGCAAAGTTACCTATAACTATAGTAATAGGAGAAACAGTAGCATTAAAGTGAAAGCATGCCATGGAATAATATGCAATTGCAGTTGGTAATGCCAAATTTTACTAGGAGTTTTCTTGTCTACCTGACTTTATTCTATATTGTTGTGTTAAATGATTAACACAATAAACTTTCACCTACCTCTCACAGGACAGTGAAAACTATCCGTTTCTCCTCCAAGCACAAAACTACAGACATTATTCATGAAATGAAGGCCAAAAAGCTGGTGGGGAAATATTTTTAAACTCTATTGGACAGAAAGTAGACATGTTTCAGGAGCACTTAAGATAATGCTGACATCAGCAACAAAAAGAATTAATGAACAAGATTAAAGATTACCTGGGGAACTTCAACAGCAGTCATGGAAAAAACATGGAGACAGAAAATTTTGGAACCATTGTATCCCACAACGAAGCCCTGAAGTTTCTGCTGATGGACAGGAAAGTTACTAGCTTTGATGTTGAGATATCCACCACCAGAGAAACAGAGCATGTCCTCACACTGTGTGTTCCAAGCCACGCTGTTAGCATTGGGTTCCTAGAGGATGATCAAACAAGATGCAATACAAAAAAATGAATGGTCTTCATTTATGGTACATGATCATGCTTGAAGAAGGCTTGGCAGGTCAACTTGGACTTCCTAGAGGGCCACTATTGATCTGCCGGCCAGAGGTCCCCCACCCTCTTTTTAGTAGATAACAACTCCTAATAGCTATCCAAGCAGTCTCACTAAGGCTCCTTTCTCATCCTTTTGGGAAACTTTTCTCTAAGATACAGGGTGACAAAGGAGCAGCATGGTAGAGCTATTTCTCTGATTTAGCTCTTTGCAATCATGTGGCTAGGGCTAGACAAAGGGAGGGAAGGGATGGAGTTTCCAAATGTTTACCTGAAAGAGCAACTCTTTGGTGTTAATATCATACACTAGACAAGTGTCATTTTCATCAACCACTGCCAGCTTGTTTCGAGACGCACTCATATCCAAGCAGCGCACAGCTGTGGATTGTTTCAGCAAGACAATTGCAAAAGGATTGTCTACAAATATCTTTAGAATCTGGATGTGATTAAATTCAGAGGGTTAATAAAATACGTCTTAAAAGCAATACTATTTTTATTTGTCAGTCTCATGCACTGGAGAATACAACTCAGGAGAATAATTAGTCTAACCAATTTAAAGCAGACTGTTCGCTTTTGCCCAAATTACTTCCTTGATTATAAATAATAAAAATAAAAACATGAGGCAAGATGATGGCTAGGTTTAGGGTCACAAGAATCAGAAGTAAAAATTAACTCCACACTTTGATTCTTCTTCCCCCCAAAATATTTAATATTTAATATAAAAGCAAAAACAGCTTCCTAGGTGGGGGGCGGCATTAGTTTCCCAACAGGTGGGTCACTGTTGCAAAGTGGCAGGAAGGTTGATGTGGTGGAAACATACCTTGGAGCCAATCTGGCACAGTGCAACTGCATCCTGTCAATATCCCTGCCACTTTGCCTCTTCCCCTCTCCCCACTGGTAAGCAACAGCAACCAGCTTACCAGGAAGCTAGTGTAGTAACTTCATCCAAAACAGTAAGCTGCAAGTAGTCTATGTTGCTCTCTACAGCACTTTACTGAAGTACGTACTTTTCCCTAACTTATTGCAAACCAGTTACTTGCAACTCATTTTCCATTAAAGGAAAGAAATGGCAAAGGAAGGTTTTGAGTAACTTCTGCTTTCTGTGAACATGTAATTCTTGGTAACCATCAAATACAGAACGTGCAAAAAACAAAAAAAATGTCACTTAAAGAGCAGCCAAAGACACTAAGAAGCAAATATGTAATTTCAGCCTATTGACTGGGCCCTTTAGCATCTAAATCATCTCCTTAATGAGTAAAAATTTCACAAAATCCTATGAACTTAATCACAAAAGGTCACCTGGCCATTCTTTAGCCCCACTAAAAGTCCTTCTCGGCCTGGAGGTCCACCAATTACTTTTATGTACCGAATGAGAGACTCCATCAGCCACTCCCTTTCTTTAACACCACTGAATGAGAGGCACTGGAGCCTTTTCTCCTAAAAAAGGGAAGAACATGTTACATTCTCATTAAAGTAATTCTCATACTGTATCTCTCAGCCTAACAGTGCTGTACACATGCCAGGCCTTTTTCATGCTAGGCAGTCAAGGTACAGATATTAGTCTGATTTTCAACTCATCAACCACTTACATTGCAACAGGTGAGGAAAGTTTTACACAGGGGCGTAGTGAGGGGGGCCTTAGTCCCAGGCGCATGAATTTGAGGGGGCGTAAACCAAGCACACACCCCTGGGATCCCCATCCCACCCTGCCTGCCTCCAGGGGTCTCTGAGCCCCAGAGCCTGGCCTCACCACCGTGTCCCCCTTGTTGAATGGCTGGCTGGCCAGCGTTGGGGGAATTTGCCTGCCAAGGGCCACATCAGCCAGCTGGGCTCCTCACTGGGTGGGTGATCAAGTGACACGGCGTGGCCCCGCTTGGCTCTGGTGGCAAGAGCTGGGCTGGTGCGGAGGGCTCCATGAACCTCTGCATCCTGGACACCGGCAAACCACGCAACAACACTGGTTTTACAGTATCTACAATTCTTCAAGGATCATTCATTAGAAATGTTTACAACCACACATTATAATATAACCTGCAGCAATTGCATGTTGATTGCCCTCTTAAAAGACAAAGTCCAGCAACTGGAGGAACGTGTAGCTACGCTCCAAAGAATTAGAGAGCTGGAGCTCTTCTTGGAAGCAACAGAGCACACCGTCTCCACCAAGGAGGAGACAGGGGACTCCCCTGAGAAGGACGCTAGTTCACCAACACAGGAGCCAGATATATGGAGAAACGTGACTCAAAGAAGTAGGAGGCCCAGGGTTCGCTCTGATTGTTTAGAAATACACAATCGCTTTGAGGTCCTCTCCCTAGCATGGAAGACGAAGAGCAGACTCCATTTGAGGATCTCTCCCTCATTACAGTCGATCAGGTATATGAAGACGAGCAGCAAAGTCAGTCCTCAGGGAATGTGCAGGCGACCTTGGAGCAGACAGCTCACGGAAGAACCCCGACCAAACCTAAGAGGAGGCGTGTAGTGGTGATAGGGGATTCCCTACTGAGGGGAACAGAAGCAGTGATCTGTGGGCCTGACAAGATGTCTCGGGAAGTGTGCTGTCTACCCGGGCTAAGATCCAAGATGTAACTGAACGACTGCAAGGAATCATAAAACCCACTGACAAATACCCCTTCCTCTTGGTTCATGTGGGAACCAATGACACTGCAAGCAATAGCCTCCAGAAGATCAAAAGAGACTACGAGGCTCTGGGCAGGAAATTGAAGCAATTAAATGCACAAATTGTGATCTCATCTGTCCTCCCAGTTGAACAGACGTGGCCCAGGGAGAGAGGGAAAATAGTGGAAGTGAACAGCTGGCTTCGCAAATGGTGTAAACAGGAACAGTTTGGATTCTTAGATCACGGACTGCAGTTTCTTGAAGATGGACTTCTGGCAAGCGATGGGCTGCACCTCACAACGGTTGGGAGAAATGTTTTTGCCAAAATCTCAGAAACCTCATCAGGAGGGCTTTAAACTGACTAATGTGGGGAGGGAGACAGTGCTCCTGAAGGTAGGAGTCTATCAATTGATGAAGATGATCATCCAAATGTCATAGACCAAATGGAGCAAACAGCACACAGACCTAGTGGTGGGAGGAAAAATCCTTAAATAAGAGACACGGGGAATGATTAATGGACTTCAATGTCTGTACACTAATGCGCAAAGCATGGGAAATAAACAAGATGAGCTTGAGCTCTTGGTACAGCAAACTAAATATGACATAATAGGCATCACTGAAACCTGGTGGGATAAGTCCCACGATTGGAATGTAATAATGGGGGATACAATCTATTTCAGAGAAACAGACCAGACAAGAAAGGAGGAGGAGTGGCGTTATATGTCAGGGATGTGTATACCTGTGAAGAGATCCAAGATTTAGAACCTCAAAGCCAAAGTGAGAGCATTTGGGTCAAAATTAAGGGAGAGAAGAATAAGAGTGACCTCATTGTGGGAGTTTACTATAGATCCCCAAGCCAAACGGAGGACATAGATGATGCCTTCCTGGAACAGATGGCCAAGCATGCAAAAGGAAGGGAGATAGTAGTAATGGGGACTTCAATTACCCGGATATTTGTTGGATGTCAAACTCAGCCAAGAGCATAAGGTCAAACAGATTCCTCACTGGCCTTGCAGACAACTTCATTGTCCAGAAAGTGGGAGAAGCAACAAGAGGAACAGCCATTTTAGATCTGGTCCTAACCAATGTTGATGACCTGGTTAGTGGGGTAGAAGTGGAAGGATCATTAGGCGCGAGTGATCATGCTCTTCTGAAGTTTACTATACAGCAGAAAGGAGCAGCCAAGCATACTAGGACTCAATTTCTTGACTTTAAGAAAGCTGACTTCATAAAACTTAGGGAAGTGCTGGGTGAGATCCCATGGACAGTAATACTAAAAGGAAAGGGAGTTCATGATGGCTGGGAGTTTGTTAAGAGGAGATACTAAAAGCACAACGTCAGGCAATACCAATGAGACAGAAACATGGAAGGTGCCTAAAGAAGCCAGGGTGGCTATCTAAAGAACTTTTAACTGAGTTAAGATTAAAAAGGATGTGTACAAAAATGGAAAAGGGGGGAAACCACCAAAGAGGAATTCAAACAAATAGCCAGCACGTGTAGACACAAAGTCAGAAAAGCTAAAGCACAGAATGAACTCAGGCTTGCTAGAGAGGTTAAAAGCAACAAAAAAGGATTTTATGGGTATGTCAGTAGCAAAAGGAAGAACAAAGAAACAGTGGGGTCACTCAGAGGAGAAGATGGTGAAATGCAAACAGGGGACACAGAAAGAGCTGAACTCCTCAATGCCTTCTTTGCCTCAGTCTTCTCCGATAAAGAAAACAATGCCCGACCTGAAGAATTTGGAGCAAATGATTCAGCAAAGGAAACACAGCCCAGAATAACTAAGGAGATAGTACAAGAATACTTGGCTAGTTTAGATGTATTCAAATCTCCAGGGCCAGATGAACTGCATCCAAGAGTATTAAAAGAACTGGCAGATGTGATCTCAGAACCACTGGCAGTCATCTTTGAGAATTCCTGGAGAACGGGCGAAGTCCCGGCAGACTGGAGGAGGGCAAATGTTGTCCCTATTTTCAAAAAGGGGAAAAGAGAGGACCCAAATAATTACCGCCCAGTCAGTCTGACATCAATACCAGGGAAGATTCTGGAGCAGATCATTAAGCAAACAGTCTGTGAGCACCTAGAAAGGAATGCTGTGATCACCAATAGTCAGCATGGATTTCTGAAAAATAAGTCATGTCAGACTAACCTGATCTCGTTTTTGACAGAATTACAAGCCTGGTAGATGAAGGGAACGCAGTGGATGTAGCCTACCTTGATTTCAGCAAGGCATTTGACAAGGTGCCTCATGATATTCTTGTAAAGAAGCTGGTAAAATGTGGTCTTGACTATGCTACCACCCAGTGGATTTGTAACTGGCTGACTGACCGAACCCAAAGGGTGCTCATCAATGGTTCCTCTTCATCCTGGAGAAGAGTGACTAGTGGGGTGCCACAGGGTTCTGTCTTGGGCCCGGTCTTATTCAACATCTTTATCAACGACTTGGATGATGGACTCAAGGGCATCCTGATCAAATTTGCAGATGACACCAAATTGGGAGGGGTGGCTAACACCCCAGAGGACAGGATCACACTTCAAAACGTCCTTGACAGATTAGAGAACTGGGCCAAAACAAACAAGATGAATTTTAACAGGGAGAAATGTAAAGTATTGCACTTGGGCAAAAAATGAGAGGCACAAATACAAGATGGGGGACACCTGGCTTGGGAGCAGTACATGTGAAAAGGATCTAGGAGTCTTGGTTGACCACAAACTTGACATGAGCCAACAGTGTGACGCGGCAGCTAAAAAGCCAATGCAATTCTGGGCTGCATCAATAGGAGTATAGCATCTAGATCAAGGGAAGTAATAGTGCCACTGTATTCTGCTCTGGTCAGACCTCACCTGGAGTACTGTGTCCAGTTCTGGGCACCACAGTTCAAGAAGGACATTGACAAACTGGAACGTGTCCAGAGGAGGGCAACCAAAATGGTCAAAGGCCTGGAAACGATGCCTTATGAGGAACGGCTAAGGGAGCTGGGCATGTTTAGCCTGGAGAAGAGGAGGTTAAGGGGTGATATGATAGCCATGTTCAAATATATAAAAGGATGTCACATAGAGGAGGGAGAAAGGTTGTTTTCTGCTGCTCCAGAGAAGCGGACACGGAGCAATGGATCCAAACTACAAGAAAGAAGATTCCACCTAAACATTAGGAAGAACTTCCTGACAGTAAGAGCTGTTCGACAGTGGAATTTGCTGCCAAGGAGTGTGGTGGAGTCTCCTTCTTTGGAGGTCTTTAAGCAGAGGCTTGACAACCATATGTCAGGAGTGCTCTGATGGTGTTTCCTGCTTGGCAGGGGGTTGGACTCGATGGCCCTTGTGGTCTCTTCCAACTCTATGATTCTATGATTCTATGATTC